ATCTATCTATCTATCTATCTATCTATCTATCTATCTATCTATCTATCTATCTATCTATCTATCTATCTATCTATCTATCTATCTATCTATCTATCAAAGCCAAATACCATCACTCATCACGGAATCTCCAGAATTGTAAAGACTACAAACTTCAAATTCAGCATGCATGTTCTTCTTGTCTTCTAGGTTCTTGCTAAGAAAGCTTTTTTCAAAATGACCATCAGATCATCAGTATTTCTTATACAATATTATATTAACACATGTCGATGCTAAGGAGTTATACATTCTACTCCCCCTCCCCACCTGAAAGGGACTCTGTTCCAACTGCCAGTTGCCTTATATTAACACGCTCTGATGAAACCCCTTCCCTAGACCAGGCATGGGCGTGTGGCCAGCGCGTGACTCATCTGGCCTGCAGGCTGGGACTTTAGACATTTTACTCCCCCTCCCCACCTGAAAAGAACTCTGTTCCAACTACCATTTGCCTTATATTAACACACTCTGATGCTAAGGAGTTATACATTCTACATTAATTTTCAAGCTTTAGGTGTCAATGTATCAAGCCCGATTGTAACTATTCATTAATTTTCAAGTTTTAAGGGTCAATTTATCAAGCCCGATCACATAGTTTTATGTGGCACATTTTCTATCCAAAATGTGGACTTTGCTGTCTTCAAAAGGAGTGGCCTTTGTCTTTCAAATGTAGATGGACCACTGAATCTTGTCCTGTTGGATTTGATTTCCTATGTTGTGCCATGTTCTCGTCCCATCGGGTTTTTCCTTTTCATCATTTACAAAAACAAGAACTTCAGTTGTCCCGTGAAGTTAAGATTATATTCTGACCATTCCTACCAACAAACTATATCACACTAGCTTTCAATTTCTCTTCCTCCTTTTTAAAAAAGTATGTTTATTTTCATTTTCCAAGATGGATAAAATACAAAATAGAAAAACTAACAAATGGAGGCAAATAGATATGTCTCAGGATAATGTTGCAGGATCTAATCTGGGTTGGTCACCGGGACCAGAGGTTTTGTCTTCTGAACTTTTGGACACATGCTGGAGCCCCATCTTCAGCAACAAAGAGGATTAGGGGACTGGAGGCTAAAACCTATGAAGAGCCGTTGCAGGAACTGGGTATGTTTAGTTTAATGAAAAGAAGGATCAGGGGAGACATGATAATCATGTTCCAGTATCTCAGGGGCTTCCACAAAGAAGAGGGAGTCAAGCTATTCTCCAAAGCATTTAAGGGTAGGACAAGAAGCAATGGGTGGAAACTAATCAAGGAGAGAAGCAACTTAGAACTGAGAAGAAATTTCCTGACAGTGAGAACAATTAATCAGTGAAATAACTTGCCTCCATAAGTTGTGAATGTTCATGGAACTCCTCTGTGTGCTTTGGGCTGCTTTGTGTGTGGAAACTCACATTGAACAGTAACAATAAAGAGGAAAATGTTTTCTTTTGTGTATGTACAAAAGAAAGGGGAAAAGAGACACCTCCCTCCCAAATGTCAAAAATATCTAAATTGAATATAAAGAATCCACTACGGCTGGGTGCCGAAAGATTTTTAAAAAAATGTGGTAGCTTCTCCTCCCTTTACATGACAGGTCTATAGATAATTATAAGCTTTCCCATTCTAATTTGACAAATATACTGTATTAAATAAAGTATTCCAGATGAGAGAGCCTATCATAATATAAACATGAAGAAATAGAAGGGGGAAAATAAAAGCTGGGGATTTTTACCAGAAACTTACAGTAAAGAAATTATATATTTGATAATTCACATAATAACTGCAGCTAGGATTGTATTTGCATAAAATTGGAAAAATGAAGAGATCCCTATGGATGAGAATGTGATTAGGAAAACATTAGAATGTGCAGAAATGAAGAGGTTAACACTCGAAATTAAAGAGAAGGAACAATCTGATTATTATAACATATAGGAATTATTTTATCAATGGTTAGAGAATAAATATGAAGGAAAAAAACAGAGAAGTGAAATAGAGAAAATGTTTTTAACCAAGTTAAGTATGAAGAGAATTGTTATAGTGTTAGGTATGGTTTATAGTAGTATTAAGTTAAGAATAGATTAAATGATAAATATGACTGTAAATTGTAATTGTTATTGTATAAAATATTTACATAAAATATTTGTACCAAGAGGACACACTGTTTAATGGAAGATGATGTTCGAATCAAAATAATATACAATATGTGTGTGTGTTTGTGTGTGTGTATGTATATGCGTATGTATGTATGTATGTATGTATGTATGTATGTATGTATGTATGTATGTATGTATGTGTATGAAGGTAGAAGAAACTTCAAGAGACAAGAAGAGTGAGATATGAAATCCCTACGGTGGTGACCCTTGACTCTATTCCTGTTTTCCATGCCACAAATCATCTTTTTATTCCTTGGCTAAATGACTTAAAGAATGTCTATCACTGAAGAATCAGAAACCCAGCCTGCTTTTTTTAAAGCTGTTGGAAGAAATGTCCTTCTGGGTTCAGTTCCAAGTGGGGAGAAAGACACTGGAAATATGGAGGCTGCTTTTGAGAGATGGTTTTAATGGTAGACAGGACCACATGGTTTGAGGTCCTGGAGGGGCGGGGGGAGGAAGGGAAGAGATGCTGAGAGTGCCTGGGTTTTATACCCTCTCTGAGGTTTTGAATTTGAGCTTGTATTCTGATTGGTAGTCAGATTCCCACGAGACCATGCCAGGGTAACTTTGTAGGTTGTGTTTTTGGGTCAGAAGCGTGGTTGAGCCTTGCTGGGTGATGATGTAATGAAAGGGCTTTGGGATTCCTATTATGGCTCTGCCTGAAGGAGGTAGATCTTTGTTATGTAGAATAGACTGGCTCAGGCCTTAATGGCCCATTGACAAAGGTGGTGTTGGGGTGTGTGTGACTTTCTGCCTTCCTTTTAGGGGAAATATTCTGCCCTTTTAATATTTCCTAAAATATTTCAGTTTTCTAGGAGAGGGCCGGGTGCTAACTTCCGACAACGTGATTTTATATTTTACAACAGCTTATTCCTATTCTCCCTGTTTCTTTAAAAAAAAAATGTATCCCCCATCCTGTGCCATTTTGTGCGGGAGGCTGAATAAATCAACTCAAGACAAACAGTACACGAAGACATGAATACTTACATAGCAGTAAAAAGCACCAACAAGAAGCGGGGGGGATGCAAAAGAAACAGACGTACTATCTTACTCAACTCGTGTCTCTTTCTAATTAAAAATAATAAGCACAATGGCTTTGAAAAAGGATGGCCCACAGAATGCATCTTAATTGAAATTAAGTGAAACGCTGAGCAGCAGATGATGTTGCAATATGCAAAACTTTCTCAAAAGTATTCATCCTCAAAATTAAGTGTGCATGCACTGTGCAATTAATTACACTAGTCATTTAACCGCAATTGGAGTCGCTCCAGCAACTCTTGACGTGTATAATCATAATAATCAGCCTGTTGGTGGAGGATAAATAGCGTCCTTTTAGATTCCTTTCAAAGGTGGGATACATTTTTGATCTGTTGGGGTTCGAACCGTCTTACTTGGCTAGTTCCTTGTTGATTATGTTCTCTGTAGACAAATCTTGGATTAAGTGAATTCACCAATGTTACCTGATAAAAAACCGCGCAAGGTTTATTGGGACTTCACTTTTATGTATTTTGTTAAAGTAGTCAGCCCATGTCAATTGAATAACAAGGAACAAAATATAGATTGAAGAATTAGTGGCTTAAAGTTTGATCAAAGATTGCTCCTTGTGCTCCTTCGGATATTCTGCTTCTAATTTAATTATTCCAAAGAGCTAGAAAAAAGGTCAATCTTCTGAAGTATGTCAAACATTAAATCTATCTCCTTCTCTTCCCTTCTTTCTCCTCTCCTTTCCTCTCTCTTCCTTCTTTCTCCTCGCCTCTCCTTTTCTTCCTTTCTCTCCTTTTCTTCTTTCTCCTCTCCTATTCCTTCCTTCCTTCCTTCTCCTCTCCCTCCCTTCCTCTTCTTCTTTCTCCTGTCCCTTCTCTCCCTTCTTTCTCCTCTCCTCCCTTCCTCTCCTTCTTTCTCCTGTCCCCTCCCTTTCCTTCCTTCCTTCCTTCCTTCCTTCCTTCCATCCATCCATCCATCCCTCCTTTCCCCCTTCCTTCTCTCCTCTCCCTTCCTTTTTTCTCCTGTTCTCTCTTCTCCTCTCCTCCCTCCCCCCATTCCCTTCTTCCCTCCCCCTTCTTCTTCCCCTCCCCTGTCCCACCTGCCTCCCTGCCTACTTACATAAAACTGTCTATCAAAAGCTTGCAAGTCTCCAAATGCTCTCATCAAAGATGAGAATGCTGGAAACTTAGACATTCTCTTTTGAAATCTTGCAAGGTAAGACAAAGCATGAGATTTATGGCATTTAAAAAATCCTTCCGTTGTACTGAATTTTATGACCATAACTCAGTTAGGAATTGTGAAAGCCAATGGGTGGTGCTTTGACGATAACTAAAGATGTCCATTTTATACTGGGTTGTCCCATTCATAAAGACATTTCTGATATAAGTTCTCTGCGATCCAATTATAAAACATTTATTAAAAAAAAATCAATGAAGGAGGAATGAAACAATAGTCAACAACTGAATGGCAGGCTGAGAATCATCAAAATTTTGCTAACTATAATATTATATTAAAATATGTTAAAATGAAATTATATGTACCATTTAAATTAGAGGAACTGTTTCTATCTTGGCTACTTCCATCAATGAAATGACTGATGGAAGCTAACACTACTCAATTTCCATCAGGCTTCCTTGATTGAATTGAATTTTCTGAATTGTCACCACATAATCCAGAATTGAAGATAGGATCTCCCATCTTCCAAGACTTTTCAATAGAACACAGATGAGAAAAACTCCATAAGAATCTCATTGTATAAGATTCAAACATTGGTGTGTTAAAAATGATATTGTCATGATTCCAAGAATTACACTCAATTTATCAAAAAGTGAAGACGTACTTCTTCAGCATAGTTCCTCATTCATTCATTCATTCATTCATTCATTCATTCATTCATTCATTCATTCATTCAATTTTTATTTCCACCCAATTCAGTCAAGTGTTTGTTCTCACTATACATAAAGCACAAGGACAACCCAGGGGTGAAATGCAGCAGGTTCTTACAGGTTCTGACAGGTTCTGGGGAACCGGTAGTGGAAATTTTGAGTAGTTCGGAGAACTGGCAAATACCACCTCTGGTGGGGTGGGAATGGAGATTTTGCAATATTCTTCCCCCAGGAGTGGGAAGCGAATGGGGATTTTGCAATATTCTTCCCCCAGGAGTGGGGAGGGAATGGGGATTTTGCAGTATCCTCCCCCTGCCATGCCCACCAAGCCATGCCCACAGAACCGGTAGTTAAAAAAAATTGAATTTCACCACTGGGACAACCCATGGGAAATGTGCTGATTTCTCTGGAGAAATTGATATCCCAGCAGAGTCAGCTGTCTGTTGCTTTAAAGCCAAGGGGGAAAAAAAAGAAAGGAAAACATTTACAGTATTCCTAAGGAATGGCACATCGGCCCTAAAATGCCCTTGTGAAATGAAAAACATCTATATTTCCTTGGCCACACATCATCTTTAATAAAATGGCCATTCTATTTTTCTGTTTAGGTAAGGAAATACCTCTGAAAGGAAGACCCAATGGGTCACAGGTTGTCCAGTAATGCAATATAATCTGACACGGCATTTATCACGAATGCTCTAGGTAACTACAGAATCTATAGGCTTAAAAACAAGAACAGTTCCAGGATGATGGTTATTATCCTTCAGGGCAAAGCCATTGAGCCACAATAGGAAATTGTCCTTCATTGCATCACCCAGCAAGACTCAACCAAGCCTGGGACACAAACGACCTCAGCTTTGATTGCATAGCCACAAGGGAATCTGACAGCAGCCAATAGGATACATTTCTTGCACAGGAACAGGAAGCTCAAAGGCAAAGCACAAGAGAGGGTGTATATATGTGTGTGTGTCTTTCTCCCCACTTGGAATTGAACCCAGATGGACATTTCTTCCAACAATTGTAAGCCATCAAGATTCAAGTTAACAACCAAAAGCCACACACAGTCAGACACTACATAAATACTACTCACAGAACAGCCCAGTCCCCTCAAGATGGGCTCCATCACGAGTCCAAAAGCTAGGAAGAGTAAATCTCTGGTCATGATGACCGACTCAGATGGAATTCTGCAAGGTAAGCTCTTTTTCTAGTATAAAGTAAAGGTAAAGGTTACCACGCCCATATGTGCTAGTTGTTCCTGACTCTAGGGGGCGGTGCTCATCTCTGTTCAAAGCCAAAGAGCCAGCGCTGCCCGAAGACGTCTCAGTGGTCATGTGGCCAGCATGACTAAACACTGAAGGCACACAGAACGCTGTTACCTTCTCACCAAAGGTGGTTCCTATTTTTCTACTTGCATTTTTTATATGTTTTCGAACTGCTAAGTTGGCAGAAACTGGGAAAAGTAACGGGAGCTCACTCCATTATGCGGCGCTAGGGATTCGAATCGCCGAACTGCCGACCTTTCTGATCGACAAGCTCAGCGTCTTAGCCACTGAGCCACCACATCGTTTCAAATAAATTCGACCTGGATATCATGAACCATTTGGACCACAATCGGACAATGATTGGCTTTCAATTACATAAAGATGTAAGAGTCAGAAAACTTACTGATGCAGGTCTTGTTGAATTTGGGGTTCTCCTGTGGGGACCCCTTCAGTCGGCACTGGAACCGGTGTTGCCAAAATTCCTGAAACCATGGGTTTCGCTGGTTGGTTTCTGGCTGAAGCTTCAGGTAATAATCATCAAACCATTTCACACCTGGAGACTGGAGCTTGATTGTTATTCCACCGGCAGCTTCGCGCTGGTAGCCATCTGTCACATCATACCTGTCGGCCCAGCCATCACTGCAGAGATTTAAAAAAATAATAATAATATAAGGAGAAATGTTTCTGTTTATGGAGAAGGCCTCCTTTGAACCATGAAAGGGAATTGCTGACATATTCTTGGCAATAACCAGGGGATCTGAAGTTAACAAGGGCTACGGAGCAGACAAAGAAGGCATAGAAGACGCATTCTATTCTTCTTAAGCCTAACAAATCCTTCAATTTGTTCTTATATACCTCCCCATTGGCACAGGCAATACTTTTTATGGATAAACTAGTCAATAATTCAGCGTTGCCCGGGTTTTTATTTATAGGGGGGAAATGTCCGGACCAAACGTAATTTCTAATGTTGGATTTTCCCTCTTACCAGAGGGAACCCCTTTGTGGAGTACTGTGGAGCCATTCCCATGGCAACTCCATTGTACAGTAGAAGCCACTTTACGACAGTACAGTAGAAGTCATTTTAAGGCACAACAGGCTGTATGTTAACAGAACACACAACCTGAGGGATGTTAGGGGTATGTTACCCCCCACAGTATTTGTTTCCAGAGAGTAAGTCATCTGTGTACCAAGTTTGTTTTAAATTACTCGAGGTGTTACAGAGTTATGCTGGAATATACACACACATAGCCAGTTTATATATATATCCGTATGTATATATGTATATATGTATATATGTATATATGTATATATGTATATATGTATATATGTATATATGTATATATGTATATATGTATATATGTA